GGATAAGGTCATACATTACATCCAAGTCTAAGACTAGACAGCGTTCCACGCTGTCAAAATCAAGGAGCTTGACACCGGGACCACAAGGACCATCGGCACAGTGACACATGTCCCCATCGCTAACATAGTAGTGACGATGTCACTCAAATGCGCTTTCAGCGGCCAGAATACAGCTGACTTCCTTCCATCGTGGAGCGCCGAGCGTAATTGCCCGACGCCTCGAAGTCGATCAGAATCTTCCATGGCCTCTCAAAGATCTTCACGGTTGCTTCCACGACCAGCAAGCTCGGTTTGCATACACGTTCTGTGTTCTAGAGCACGTAGCTCTTCGGAGCTGGGCACTGCTGACCTCTACCTCTTTATGGCTCAACAGAACTCAGTTTCTCCCTGTAAAGCTTCCGCGCTTACTAAGTGTTGTCGTTCCTCCGCGAAGACTGGTACAAAGCAGGCCGTCGGTTCGATGAACCATGACGTGCCGTGCACAGGGAACAACCAGTCCGGAGATGATGGGTGTCTCCACAGTCAAACACCGTCAGGTCTTCGAACGCTGCTCGGCAGCTAGAGGTATGCCTCCGTCCTCAGCATAGTAAAAAATTAAAGATATTTTAGATATAAAGCTGGGATCCATCAGCTCAGTCCCGCCCGATGAGTTCTGTGGGTGCTGATCCAAGTCGTACTTACTTAAAAATGCTTCTACAAAAGAAGACGGGTGCACCTGAATGATTTTCATTCTGACCACACCGGTGCGGAGGCATTCCAAAAGTCGGTGATCGCCCCTACTTGTGCACGATGCGCGAGTCTGGGGGGTCGACATATGTACATGTTCAGCCGAATGTACATCGATGTCGCGAAGATCAAGGCTTAATTTGTCAGCACTTTGATTGGCGACACATGCTTGAGGTTTGTAGAGCTGGAATTTATAGTATAAATCGAGCTTTCGGCCGCATCACCCCGAAACAAAAAAGGCTTATTACTCGCGAATATCATTGAGCGCGCCATGTTTACAGCCGTTCGATGCATTTTCTCAATCTTGCCGTTCGATGCTTGACTTCGCGCCTTTCTCACTTGTCTTGCCAGGCCGGCAGGCTTGCTAAGTAGTTACTCGCTCTTGTAAACGCCACTACCGTCAGTCCTGAGCACACGAAATTGGCAGTTAAAGTTCTTCTCAGAAAGCGCATGCGATGCTCCAGCTTGATCGCTGCTTGGGCCTTGGTACGTCCAGAAATTTAACGAGGATCGATACCCACTCAATCTTTCGGTCTCATAGTTTCCTTTATATCCGAACAGATTACGCCTTCAACTCGTTCAATATATGATTGTACCCCGGAACACTTCTTGAAGTGCGCGTTCTTCGTCTGAATCGCTTAAGCACACGTGACCCACACCACCTACCGATAATCTGTCAGCCGAATGTCAGATCTAGGCCTAAGCGCCACCCTCTCAATAAAGGCGCATGCGACCATTGTTAGAAGCGCGCATAACCCCTCATACGCAACTCTACTATCTCCCCTGCGACGATTCTTCAGCTTTGCTGCCAAGACCGAGCCAACCAATCCAACATCGACTTTTGCATCTTGTGGGCCTGTAAACGAGTATGTTATGTGACACATTGTCATGTCGAACAGGATTTCAACAGTTATGAGGAAGATGGGCGCTCGTTTGTCATCCTCGTATTTGAACCCGTATCTTCTCTGCTGAAGCTTGCCATTTGACACGTTAAATCATGCCAGCAACAACGTAAAAACGACCTCGGTTAACCGGATAACTCGTGATTTTTCACACGCGGTCACATGAAGTAACGCACTTTCGACCATCGTGAGTAGTAGCGTTTCTACGTTGGCAACAACGCACTGGTCTTCACACTTACAAGTATTTTTGAAATTTTCTCACCATCGACGCGACTTCTGCCACACCCACCATCCACAACTTGTGCTGGGCTTAGGTACCTAACTAAAAGCTTATCAGAAAGTTAAGTTCTAAGTTTAATTTCATCCTGAGAGAAAGATGGATAATCTATTCTCTAGCTTGATTTGTTGAGTAAATGTTTTCTAGTAAAAAAAATTGTACTGCACAGCATAAGGCTAGTCTTTTCTTTACGGAGTCCTATCACCCTCCTCCGTAATGAGTTACTAATCAAGAGACTTGATCGTTATAAGCTTCGCATGATACAACAGTATGATGAGCGTGCACATCATAAAAACGAACGTAAACCAGGCTCCCTTGTTTAAGGTAGAAATATTTGGTACGCTATTGCATCACTGAATTTGTGTTAATGACGTAATGGGATTACAAACACGATGACAGTTGGTAATTGCGGACTAGACATTGGTCAAAGGCAATCAGTATGCAATGTATAGTAGACATAGTAAAGGCGACAAGAATGTCTTGGATGTCGCAGAGGGCTGCAATTTAAGAACTAAAATATATGTTCAGGGTTCATTTTACCTCTCAATGCGCACACCCCATATTAAGACGTCATGAGCCCGATGACTGGTTTTGACGGTGAGCCAAGCTTGCCAATTCCGTATGTCTCGACGACGACCACGAAAGTGCCGTGGCGTCTCTAGCGGTGGTGCGAGGCGGAGCAACAATCCAAGACATGAGTACGCCAACGCTCAAATACTAGCTACCGTCGTCATCCTCCAAGCGCGGATTGCGCAGATTAAAATCACACGGCTGACGTGGTGAAAACAAGCGGATGATGGGCCTGATTGAGCCCAAGGTGATTGACTCTGCGCTAGACAACGATCATTATGGTGTATCGATACCTTCAAACAATCGTCGCATTCAAGGAACGAGCCAGTCGCCCAAGTTTGCAACAGCATGGAGCAAACCAAGACGATATACTATTACAATATCGAGAGCCACAAGTATGCGGCGGCGCAAGATTACGCGCGTCTGATGGCATCGGAAGCGCAGCGAGCAATGCGGGTACCTGGTACCGGACGAGTGCTAACGAAGAGTAAATACCCGCAAGTTTGATGGCATCGAGCTTTTCAGCGGCTGGGCTCCGTTTTCTGGGCTGGAAAAAATGTTTATGCGCTAGATACAGTAAAGCCATGCGGCATGTTTCTTCAATGATCTGAAGACGTGAAGACCGACCCACGAGGCCACTACTTGAGTGACACGACAGAGCGTTATAAAAACAAGCTGGTCGATACGTGGTGGTGTCAGTCTTCTACGCTTTTACAGTTCGTGGAGCAGCTGCATCAGACGCTCAAGCCCACGATCACTGCGCCTCAAACGATTAAGCAGCAAAGTAATCCCAAGCAAACCTAGGTCAGAGCATGATCTCTATTTGGGCTGTGAACGTGGGGCGGTGTGTGCTCGACAACATTGGGCAATGCATCAAGGGGTTGCCTACGACGTCCTTGTCACAACCATAACACTTGCACGTGTCAGTGCGTGGCTTGCTCTTCATGATTCCAGCTCAATCGATTTTTCAAATGCGCGAGCTCTTTAGCTGGAGCTACATATTGACTTGGCTGAACACTTTGGTCAGTATACCTTGACGAAAGGCCAAACTCAAGAACGTGTGGTAAAATGATATTACGCGGATTATAGAAGTCGAAGCTATCTTTTTGCGAAATGTGGTGCAGTTCCATAACAACTGATCAATGAATTTGAGCCGAATCGTGGTGCTTGGCGCATAGTCAGATAACATCATTTTGTGATGCGCTGGTTTCTCGCTGTACACGCATCCTGATTGGTCCAATGCTTTCTTTGGCTCAGGCCCTTTCGATGAACATATTGCCTTGATACATGACTCAGATTGGCAAGGAGCTTGTGCACGCCCGTGCTGCCTAGATAATGCCCTTCAAAAATTTCTCCTTGAAGGATGCACGCAAGCGTTCGCTGCCTTCGCAACATTAAACACCTGACCGGTTAAGCTCTAACGACAATTCTTTGCTCTGCCAGCATAGTGCTCGTCCTTCGCGAACACTCGTTATTGTGACCACACCGAGGCGGTACGGTTTTAGTACAAAGAATACTATCGCATTTTGTTTTATCACATTTGCGGTAAGTTGCGTGATGTTCTCTACAAAAAAATAGATTATTATATATTCAATCTTATTTCAGTACTTTTATGAGCTAGCCAGTACAGATTTTAGTTATATTATGGTTTTGGTACTTGAATAGTTTAATTTGAGGTCCAAAAACATAATTTTTAATCATTTAATAAAATCCATGACTTCAAATCTAATCTAAATGAAATTCAAAATTGAAATAGCTCTTTATTTTGTATCGACATAACTCAGTGATGCCAATGTTTTGAACCACTGTTCTAGAGTCATATATGTTAGTTGAGTACAACAGCCAGAGTCTCGTGGTTTGTGTAACAATTGCTCAATGATTTCGGCATTAGAAAAGATATTTTCGAATGAATTTTTAATGCAACGCCTAAATATAAAGGAAGCGCTTAACGGGACATCATACGTTATCACATATCTCCACATCAAAGCATACCCACAAAGTCTGTTGCAGATATAGCCTTTTCATTAACCTAAATATGTTTACACGTCATCGAGATCAACTCCATACCCATAATATGATTAGCTGGTTGCAAAGGCTGGATTTGTAGTTGCTGACAGGAGTAAGTTGAATCACATATGTGGGTAATTAGGTACACTTTGTTAACGACGCGGAGTCAAGCAGCAATCAAGTG